ATCAAAAAGAAAGAGCTAGCAAGTCACGAAAAGACATTGAGGAGCCTTAAATGTATATTGCTAAGCAAAAGAAGCCAATCTGAAAAGTCTACGTACTGTATGATTACAACTATATGACATTCTGGAAAAGGTAAAGCTATAGAGATGGTAGTAAAAAGATTAGCGGTTGCCAGGGTTTCAGACGGAGGGAGGGAAGGAAGAATAGATCAAGTACAGGGCATTTTTAGGGTAGAGAAACTGTATGATACCCTAATGATGGACACATGTTCATCATACATGTGTCAAACCCCACACACACAAAGAATGAACCCTAATGTAAACTACGGACTTTAGTTAACAAGAACGTATCAATATTGGCTTACCAACTTTAACAAATGTACCATACTAATTCAAGATATTAGTAAGAGCGGAATCTGAGTGGGGGTGGGTGCGGTGGGGAGGTGGGTATACAGGAACTACCAGTATTATTTCTCCTCAATTTTTCTGTAAGCCTAGAGCTGTTCTATAAAATAAAGTCTTTTAAAAAAAAAGTATAGTGTGAGAAATCTTGCTCCCACTGCTATCCACATCCGTCTTATTTCCCACTACCACTAACAGTTAACCACTGTTATTAGTTTTGAGAATCCTTCAAGAGTTCTCTGGAAATACTATTGAATATGAATGTATATTATCTTGTTCCTTTTTAAGAAATAAAACGCAGCATATAATGCTAGTCTGCCCTTTCACTTAATGGCATGTTTTGGAGATCACTCCCTATCAGAGCAGAGTGAGCTGTATGTTGCTGTAGAGGCATCCCATAATTTATTCAAGCAGTCCCCATAGACATCTATAGTGTTTCCAGTCTGCTGCTTTTAGACACACACATGTCATTTTGAATTTAAGTGGATGCCTGGATCTAAGAGTATATGGATTTTTTATTTTGATAGATATTCCCAAATAGCCCTCTATAAGTTATAGTCTCAGTAACAATCAAAATCCTGCAGTCATGGCTTAACAAGATGTTCTCAGCTTAATACTATAGATAAAACGACTGGAGGTGAGGGTAAGGGGGAGGGGTGGTGGTGGTGTCAGGAGGAGAATCACACACACACACGAGTTACCATCAATTTCCCATAGAGAAACAAGAGTTTAAAGTTACAAGACTCGTACAATTCTTACCCAATTGCAATTCAGTCTTGGGCTTGATGGCTGGGAGTTTACATTGCCATTCAAAAGTATTTGGATAGGAACTCACTGGTTTAGAAAGCCCAGATAAAAGTCTGAGAATTAATTTGTCATCCCACGGATTCTCAACAGTGGAGTCTTAAAGGAATGGGAACAAAAAAAGAAAACAAATTCAGTACCCAAGAATTTTACCAAAGAAATTATAGACAAAGCAAGTGAACACATTCATTCAGTAAGCTTTCAAAAGCCTTATCTTGCAAGAGCATTGATGCAAATAATAAAGAAACATTTTCAAAAGTCAGGATGAGTAGTTCTGCACACTTCATTGTCATTTCAGATCTAAAATTTAGATCAAAATTCAGTTGTTACAAAGGAAATCAACAGCAAGGACATCTGTTCCACGCACCGGGAACAGCCCGATTCTGCCTTGAACACAATTACTAGTGTAGGTCTTAAAGGCAGACGCAGATATCAGTTACTTCTAATGTGCTCAGATGTTTATTCTTTAAAGTGCTTTTCCACTTATACCCACAAAATACATTGCCTTTTAACACTTACACTACCTATGCCTGATTTGCATGTATGAGATATACGTTGGGTCCACAAAATAGAAATCATTTCTAAAGGGAATAAAAAAGTTTCTAATTTAGAATGCTATAAAAAATTCTATTAGTAGCAGTTATCAAAGACTAATCTAGCATGATTAACACTTACTTAATGCTCAGCACTTGAAGGACACTGTTCTGAGCACTCTACATTTACTAACTCACTTGGTCCTTATTATCAGACCCTAAAGTAGGCAGTACCAGCACCTCCACTTTCCAGAAAAGGAAAGAAGCCCACAAAGAACTGAAATGATCCTGGTCAGTATCACATGACTGCTTAAGAAGGGGAGTCAGGAC